GTAAATATAAATAAATATAATCCTTTGCGCGCGGGATGTCACATAAAATTACCGCGGGCGATAATGATGAAGAGAGCGGTGATCAACGTGCAATCTAATGACAATGCGTGTTTCGCGTGGTCTGTGGTCGCCGCTCTATATCCAGCTGAAAGTTAGGTTTATCGAGTATCTTCGTATCCTCATTATACAACAGTGCTGAATCTCCAGGACATTGAGTTTCCAGTGATTGTAAATCAAATTAAAAAATTCGAACTTGCCAACGATATCTCAATCAATGTATATAGTATCGAGGAAAAGAACATTGTCCCGATACGTCTGAGTGAGCTGAAAAGAGATAAACACGTCAACCTGTTGTACATTGAAGACAACAACGTTGGACATTTCGCGTGGATCAAGAATCTATCCCGCCTTGTAAGCTCGCAATTGAACAAAAAAGAACACAAGAAATATATCTGCGATCGGTACGTATATATTTAATAAAATACATTGCAGAAATAATTGAACCAAAAAAAATTATTTCTTTTACAGATGTTTGCACTACTTTAGCTCGAACGACAAATTACAGTCACATATGGTGGACTGTCGAGAGATGAACGAATACGCTATCCGATTACCGAGCGATAAGGACAAGTGGCTCACGTTCAACTATTATAATCGGAAAGAGCGGCTTCCTTTCGTCGTGTACGCCGACTTGAAGTGCGTTTTGGAGAAGACAGAGGAAGAGAGAAACTACCAAAATCATAAAGTATTTAGCATAGCATATTATGTACACTGCTCGTACGACGAATCGTTATCCGCGCATCATTCTCGTCGCGGTATCGATTGCATGTCATGGTTTGTTGAAGAACTAAAAAATTTAGCGCAACGTGTAAAAAGTATTTGATGGGGATAAGACATGGTTTTATTTATCCAACGCGGAATACGCGGCGGCTTGAGTCAATGTTCCAACAGATACGCACAAATCCCAGCCACTTCACATAAACCTTGTCACCCTTTTTGCGTATCACTTTTTCCACAAGATGTACGTCGGGATTAGCAACGCGTTGTAACTCGTATTCGTAAAATCCGCCGGCGACGGGATTTCCACATAGGAAATTCGGTTTCTGAATATCCTGGACCGGTGATACACGTGGTGGTTGCGGCGCAATATGCGGTGGGAGCATGAAAACATTTGGGGTGACACGCAAGAGGCTCGCGAGTACGAGGAGTCGTACGAGTGGGCTTTCGAGGATATTTTCGATCTTCGAAAATTATTTGGCCTCGAGCCATATGATGAGATTGAAGTAAGGTGAATATTGTTAGTATCATTTTTAAAATTTCATAATATTTAAATTAATATACTAACATAATTTGATTTCTTTGTTTGTTTGTTTCAGATGGAGCGTCACCATTAAATTATATTATATACAAATTATCATTAATATTTTTATTATTTTTTTTACACACACACACAAACACAAACACACACACACACAATTATATTATATACACAATTTTTAAATAAATATTATTATTATTATATTAAAAAATGTCAATTATTTCTGCACCTTCTTCTTTCCTTTTCCCACACGCGTGCATGCCTCGCATTATCTCTCTCTCTTAAACAACACACACACACACAATTATATTATATACAATTTTTGAATAAATATTATTATTATATTTAAAAAAATGTTGATTATTTCTGCGCCACCTTCTCCCACGTCCATGCATGCCTTGCGCTGTCTCTCTCTCTCCCACATGCATGCGAACGTCATCCTTTTCCCACGCCAATGCGGACGCTATCCTTTTCCTACACGCGTGCATGCCTCGCGCTATCTCTCTCACGCCGCCTTGCGAACGCCGTATCATCCACGTGCATGCTTCGCGCTATCCCTCTCCCAAGTGCATGCCTCGCGCCATCTCTCTCCAACGTGCATGCAAACGCTATCCTTGTCTTACGCTCATATGGACGCCTCGCGCTATCCTTCTCCCACGTTAATAGAATATAATTAGCGCTATCTCTCTCACACCTACTCGCGGACGTCTCGCGACGGTTAGGTTAGTGGGTCCCTCGCCTATCGGTTAGGACGCGGTCCCCCTCTCCCTCTCCGCGGACCCCTCGCCCATCGGTTAGGACGCGATTCCCCGCGTTACGTCATACCCCCGCGCCGGTTTTCCCTCGCCCCTTAACCCCCCTCAGAGGACCATGGCTTAGAACCGGCCTATATACCCTACTCACGGACATGAACCAAAATCGACAGTTTTACCGACGACATACTATTAAAGACCGTCAGCCCTGGGTAAACTTTTGTGACCATTAAGTGGGCCCGGTGGGCCTGGAGGTAATTGAAGAATGTTGACATTACCGGCCGTTTGATTGGATCGAAGATTATTACACAAATGATTTAATTTATACGGTTATTTTACTTCATTCAGTTATTTTTTTATTATCGAAAACACCGACGAGATATCATTCGAGACCGATGGTCTTATAGGATTTAACATATTACTGGAAAAAAACTCGCCACGCGGTACTGTAGGTAAGTAAATCTTTGCATTGTCGATAATAAAACAGTAAATTTACAATAAAATGTTTATTTTGTTGTTCTTGAGGCAGTTATAGAAAAGATCTATACATTTTTGATAATAAAACAGTAACTGAATGAACTAAAATAACGCGCAGCGAGTTTTTTTCCAGATCACACTAAATCCCATAAGACCACCGGTCTTTAATGATATCTCGTCGGTGACAGTATCGAAAAGTGGATGTAGCACGGACATGAACCAATCAACTGTTTTATCGGCTCCGAAAGTGGATGTGGCCATGTAGTTCCAGGCGGCGTAAAATGGATGTACATGACGCTAGTGTACGACTTAGAAAAAGCGTCTCACGAAAAACGGCAGCGTGGCGACTTTCATTCTTCTCTATGGCACTAGTAATTTTCACTGCTGCCAACTACACTGTTTTTACTGGCAGTAACTAAATCTATTTTCGAACACATACATTATAATCAAGTAAAATCAGAGTAAAATGGCAAAAGAGCCACGCGCAGTTTTTAGGGCGCAAAGATATATAATTTAAACCGTAAAATAAATTAAAAAATTAGAGAATTTTTTTTCTTTAATTACATGATTCGCGAAAGGCGGACGTTTCGGCCCTTTTTTTGGCAATCATCAGCGCAAATAATACTAAAATCAACAATATAAACTGTATACAAAAAGAGTCTTAAACATTTAAAGCGCAGAGTTACATGATAACCAACGGTAGAAGGCGTAATCCCTCATGTCGCTCCAAAAAGCAAAAACCATTCTCCATATCGTGTGTTATTTCGGGGCAGAAACCTCGATTCTTTAAGCATGAATCCACGAACATGGTGATACATTAATAATTGTGTCTGTAATTTGAGCGGAATGGTTTGTGTCAAAAAACGATTGTTATGAACAAGAGTTTTCAGGCGTACACGAACGACATCAAAAATGAACCTGAGAGGATAACCATTCTCTATCAAAATTTTAATGATTAATTCAAAATTTTTCCGATGAAACAACGGGTGAGACAACCGAAACACTCTGTCGGTTAAACCGATCACTATACATACATTATAGTATACGTGACATATACTATAATATCGGGCGCACCCGGGTGGAGCTGCATAAAGTTAGCCGGACTTACAAAGTACATGCTACATTGTAAAGCGAGGTCCACCCTGCCTACCGGTGGGGTGGGTGCGGGAGGGGGAGGATATTCCAAATTTTTTTTGTTAATAACTTTTTAATAAGCAACGAGCGGCGATTAAATTAGAAGAAAAAGTTACTCAGAATTATGTCCTTGACAACATATATCAAGGTTATTGGGGCTGGGTCCCCTTTTCTTAATCTTAAGTTTTACCGCTCAGTGCGCACTAGTGCATCCAATCGAATTCGCCATAAGTTTCTAATTTGCACGATTTTCATCTTTTTTTTAATTTCATTTTTTATTTCTAAAACACTCACTTTTATTAAATCCATGATGTAAGAATATAAGGTGTACCCATAGACATAGTATATCTAATAGTGATGAGCGGTATTTTCATACCTGTTATTTTGTAACTGTTATCGGAAACTAATGGCAAATTCGATTGGATGCAGTAGTGCGCACTGAGTGCGCACTCTTTCAGTATTTAGTATTCGGTTGGCTTGCCCTATACTGGTTCAGAAAAAACGGAGCGAGTGCACATCAATCGAATTCGCCATTAGTGGCTGTGTTCCGATTCTTCACCCGATGGGTGATAGTCGGGTGAGCGGGTGATGGGCGGAGTTTAACGAAAAGTGTCTGAGAGGATAATGGAATCAGAACGCACTCCGTAGGAATCTGAAGTCTCCAAACGGCGTTGGCATCTTGGTAATGCGTGATCGCCCTATCTAGTTAGAAATTAATCAATGGTTGAGTTATCAAAGGAAAGCGGGGGACTTCCGTTTGTTCTCTTGACACGTGAGTTAGGACACGGCCATATTGTCCTTCCGTGCAAGGACATATTCTGCGTATTATATCATACGCCTTTACACATACCACACGTGTTATTTCATCATTATTATGGAGGTCACTCCGGAAGAGGTCTACGATAACACAACAGAGAACACATCTTCGCCTCTTATCGAGACGAATAACAACGATGATATTGTCAAAAATGTGCGCAGTATAATTTATCGTAATCGTAAAAGGAATACTGATTCTTCTTTGAGAAGCCCTCTCCCGCCAAAGAGATCCACTCTGGACCCATTTGATTTGCAAGATCCTAGAATCTCAAACAAATACGGCCTCTCAACCAAGCCTCCATTCGTTATACATATAGAGAAAATCATCTATAAATCCTTCTCCGCCGCCCAGGAACGGGTTTCGGAAAACAAAGAAAGTAACGACAACGTCAACACAGGTATCGGCAGCTCTGATTCTATCCTTTCTAATCCTAATCAAAGATCTTCCACTGGCTCTTACGGCATTATTGCGTTTGGTAAGCGTATCTTTAAACATATTGATAACTTTTCTTCAGCATATGACCTAAAAACTATAGGTAGGAATAAATTCACAGTAACCTTCCCAGATGGTAATTCTGCAAATAAATTCTGTGATATTTTTAATGAAAAATCCAATATCATCTTTCCAAGGGAAACATGGATAGCATACATACCTAGTTACAGAGTTGTTAGACAGTTTGTTGTCAGGGGTATTGACGATGATGATTCCCCTGAGGACATAATAAAAAACATCCGCCCTCCACCGGATTGGGACATTCTGTGGCAGCCTCCATTCGAAGCTTCCAGACTGAGAAAACCCGTTCGAACCCTAAATAAGGATAACACCTCATCTACTAAATTCGTTGATTCTGATTCATACATTATCCGTTTCAGGACAACAACCGTACCCCCTAGCGTCATATATATGGGAAAAAGACTTCATCTCATCCCATTTATCGAAAAAGTCAGAAGGTGTCAGAGGTGCCAGAGATTCGGCCATGTTGCAAAGATATGCCGGACTCCATAAAAGAATGCCATCTGCCAACGTTGCGGTAAGAATACCTCTTCTCATGGCTGTAATAGTAACGATAACGAACCCTGCACGGCCGAAAAGCCTTCTTGCATTAATTGCCAAAGACAAAAATTGCCGGACTCTGTTACGGAACACGAGGCATCCTCCAACTCCTGTCCCATCTTCCAAAAACAGAGAAAAATAAAAAAACTCATGGCTTACCATAACATCTCTCATTTGGAAGCCATTTCAATTCTCGAAAATGCAAATCCTCATTCACAACCAAATAACATTCTATCTCATTCACTCCCTCCTCTTGGAGTTCCTCTTCCTACTTTGGGTGAATTCCTCCCTGGCGCTCCTCCAGGATCCTATGCGGAGGTGGCATCTAGGAACAACTACAGCAACCACAATCATAATCTTAGCTCAACCTTTAATAAAATTCAATTCCCCAAAATCGTTAAACCTCAACACAACTCTAATATATCTTCCACTAATCCATTAGCAACATATAAAAAACAAGAGGCCTATCCTAAACCTAAAGTCTATTACCCCTCCCAAAAGAAAATCACCCACACTACCCCCTCCCAAATCCCCTCCAGATCCCCTCCTAATCCCTCTACTATCACCGAATACCATAAATCTTTACCGATCAACAAACATGCTACCACATCCACTCTTCCCCCCCTCGCTTCAACTACTAATAATCTAAACACTCTCTCCTCACACTCTGAAATCATAAATAATTGGATACTTGAATGCCAAAACAGATTCTCCTCTGTCAATCTCATACAAACTGATATATTATCCCAAATGGGAATTTTCCTTAACAATGCCATTCTTTCTTGATGGACTCTGCCATGGGCTATCTTACGCTCATTACACAAAGTAAATTCACATAATGACAATCAATATTTTGCAGTGGAATTGTCGCTCATTGCAGAGGAGAATCCCGGAATTGGCTTTTCTACTTGATAATTACAAAATAGATATCGCCACTTTATGCGAAATTAGATTAGACGAACAATTCCGCCCCAACGTTAATAACTATGATATCTATTCCCAAGATTGCAACCGTCATGGCGGTGGCGTCGCTATCTTAATCCATAAGAAATACAGATTCACACAAATAGCAGATAATAATATGAACCTTATCTGCAACCGTAATAACATTGAATACATATTAGGAAAAGTCTGGCTTAATCCGGATAAACACATATATATCTGTTCGCTCTATAGCCCTCCCCGAGGCGGTAATTATGCATATACTGAGCCGCTGGCTTGGACTTCGCTACTTCAATGTTGTGTTAACTTAGACCCAATAATTATTTGTGGTGATGTTAATGGTAAGAGTGCTCTCTGGTCCTCAGATGTTTTGAGTTCGGATCAGGAGGGAAGCAAACTGGAAAACGCCATATCACAGTTTAATCTCCCATGTCTTAACGACGGTGGTTATACCTGGTCGTCGGTGGATTTCTCGTCCACCTCAGCCCTTGATGTCACACTGACCTCTCCATCTATTGCGCACAAATGCACTTGGGAGGTTCTTGACGGGAAGCACGGTAGCGACCATTTTCCTATTTTAATAACCATCTCACACTATAACTCTAGCCCGTCTTTCGGTCGCCCCTCCTTTGTCACTACCAACATTGATTGGCATATATTCCAGCAGGAATTTGTACGTCATTTTCATTTTTTCAATGATAACTTGAATTCTACTTACGATAAATTAATCAATAATATCCACCTCGCTCTGTCAACCGCAGGTGCCAAAAAACAATCCTCAAACTGTATTAGGAAAAAACCCCCAACTGTATGGTGGGACGATGAGTGTAGGGAGGTGATTCTGCGAAAGAGCCAAATTTTTCGCGGGTTCAAGCTTTCCCCTTCATCTGAGAATCTAAAGGAATACCTGGAATTCAGAAGATACTCGTCTAGATTCTTTGCTAAAAAAAAGAAACTTGCGTTCCGCGAGTTTTGCTCCTCGTTGAACATCAATACACCGACATCCACCGTTTGGAGATACATTAGAGCATTTACAAATAGAAACTCTAACAATTCTCCGTGTACCCACATCTCTGAGGACTCCTTCCTGGAGGCTTTCAATAAGTTGGCCCCCCACCCCCTCCGCCCATACTCCTACTACTAATATTCAAAGCTTTATTACATCTCTGCCTAACATCAGTATTAATATTGATAAAGAATTCCTTCTTACCCCATTCTCCAAACTAGAATACAACGAAGCCATATACACGTTAAAAGTTAAATCAGCTTCCGGACCCGACTTAATCTCTAATAAAATTATAAAAAAATTCCCTGAAGAATTACATCATCTTATATTAAAGCTATTCAATCTAATGTTCAACAAAAGCATTTACCCTCATCAATGGACTGAATACTTTACTGTATTCATCCCCAAACCAGGTCGAAAAGATTCCCTAAGACCGATATCACTAGCGAATAATCTATTGAAAATCTTTGAGAAGATGATATATAAAAGACTCGAATGGTGGGCGGAAAATAGTTCCATCTTTTGCAACACTCAGTTTGGCTTCAGAAGAGGCCTATCTTGTATAGACAACATTTCCACACTAATCACGGACATACACATTTCTAACAAGGCCCGCAAATTCACAGGGGTAGTATTTCTGGATATTATGGGAGCATTTGACAGGGTCCAACCTGAAGTTCTTATAATGCTTCTCTCCAAATACGGTCTCCCTTCAAAAATTTTAAAATTCATAACTGCCCTCGTCTCTTGTCGGCTTCTTAAAGGTTTTGCCGCTGGCATTAACTTACACAGCCGCTACACTACAATTGGCCTCCCCCAAGGCTCCATACTCAGTCCTATCTTATTCAACTTATACATAGCTCTTTCTCACACCGTATTGCGTAACTCAGTAAAAATTTTGTACTACGCGGATGACATAGCAATCTATTGCTCTGATGACCAGCTAGAGTCCATCAATCACCTGCTAAACATCGCGCTCGATAACCTCTGTCAATTCTTCGCCAATCTCGGACTTAGTTTTTCTCCCCCAAAATCCAGCTTCATGATATTTTCTACCCTCAAACCACGCAACCTTCGTATCCTCTTAAATAAACATAAATTTGTATTAAAAATTAGTAATGAAAACATCCACTTTTCCGCTGCAACGCGTTTTCTAGGGGTCTTATTGGACTCCGAACTTAACTGGAAAGCACACATCAACTATTTAAAAAATCGAATAACACCAAGAATTAATATCCTTAAAGCTATTACAGGGATCCGTTGGGGCGCCCACCCCGCTAATCTTCTCACCATATATAAAGGCTATATAAGACCTATACTAGACTGGGGGTGTCAAGCCTTTAATCCATTGAGTGAACAACTCTACTTAAAAGCTAGCCGCATGCAATATGCAGCCTTGCGCACTGTTTCAGGCCTGATGATAACCACTCCCACTAACGTCCTATTAGATATTAACGGGGAATTCCCACTTGAATCGCGCTGGCACTATCTTACCCTGAAGTTCTTATGTAAAATTGTTGCGCGAAATTCACATCCTTTATGCCAAACAATAACATACATGTCCACTCAGTCCGACAACGAAAAACATAATATATGTTACCTCATTGATATCTTCCTTGACCACTCAAATCTTTACGAGCAGATTGAACATTACTCTTTACCTGGATATCTTGAATTTCCATATAAATGCAGACATCACGAACCTATAATTAACACAGATCTTGGCCTTCAAATCTCGGCAGATGCGGACATTTCCGAATCCTTTAACCGCCTCACGCTGCCCTTTAAATTCGAAATCTCCTACTACACTGATAGTTCTCGAACAGAGTCCGACAACAAGGTTGGTTACGCGGTCTTTTCTCCGGAGACCGGTTTAGAATACAGAGAAAGAATAAATAATAATAACACTATCTTTGAGGCTGAAGCTCTGGCAATTCTGTACGCCATCAACACCATCCTAAAAACCAATGCACGCAAATCTGCAATTTTCTCTGACTCCTTGAGCGTGATATCTAGTCTCAAAAACCCCGCAGCCACAGGCAACCCTCATCACAGAATTTATCAAATTCGAAAAGCCCTTTTTGAGTGTTCAAGGCAATTGCTAGAGACACATATTTTTTGGATCCCTAGTCATAGGGGCATCCCCGGCAACGAAAGAGCTGATTCGCTAGCCAAAGAATCTCTGCATCTTCCTGATCCTTTCCTCCTCAGCAAGTGCCACTACACAAATCTTTACTCCAAATTCAAAACTCTATCCAAAGACAGAGCTTCCCAGATTATTCAGGCGGAAAGCCTTACTAAAGGAACAAGATATTTCAAGCATATACACAGTGTCTTATCTCCCCCATGGTACACAAACAAAAACATAAAGGAGGATCTTCCAAGGCCAATGGTGACATTTATCTCGAGAATAAGAACATATCACACTTCAATGAAGGGTCACCTCTGGGACAAGAACATCTCCACCTCCTCGGAGTGTTCCTGTGGACACCCATTTCAGGATTTGAATCATGCTTTCTTCTGCTGTCATGACACGTTCGAAAAGTCGGACGCTCTTATTACTGCATTGCATAAAATCACACCTAACATCGCATTGGACATACCTGAGTTGGCATTTACCAATAATATCAAGATCTATCGACTCTTGTTTGATTTCGCCAAGGAAAACAACATACTCATCTAAACCTCACATACTTTCAGTTCTACTAGCAAATGGTGTATAGACGGGTCCCTCGGGAAGTCTCACAGCCAAATAGAGAGAAGAAGAAGAAGAAGAAAGGAAAGCGGGCAAAGAAAGAAAATTATTGTGCGTTGTAACTATAAACGTTTTCACACTATCACTATTCGACTTCGCAGTTTTACTAACAATCAAAGCGTCAATATTAGTATTAACAACGTATAAATTTCTTCTTTTTTTTTTCTTTTGGCATAAGCCTGTAAATCTCTGTAAATACCTGTAAAAACCTGTTGCTCAAATGCAGTTTATAGCATGATGTAATAATATATATTGGCCGTGTTCTGATATTCGCTGCCAGTACTGAAAATCTATAGTGTATGTCATATACACTATAGATTTTCAGTACTGGCAGCGAATATCAGAACACGGCCAATATATATTATTACATCATGGTTTATAACATACATAAAGCCGGTATTAGACATGAGATTATACACAATTTTCAATGCATCTGATGTCCGATTCTGACTTACAATATTACTAGATTTTTCAATATTGCCCGCACTTATTGCCACTCATCTTCATTCAAAAATCACCCGGCTCACGGAGCCGGGTGGTTTTTACGCTCTCCCGGGTGAATAGAGTGACAATTTGACCGTCTCACTTGAGAGTCCGGCGAGAGCACTTGGGAGGAATCTGAACGCTCTCTGGGTGTCTGGGTGCACCCGGGTGGGGAATCAGAACCCAGCCTGTGACATGTATATGTCACCTTACCACCATAATTATAAATGAAATATATAATTACTTATATATGTATATATAACTTTTGTCTTTATATTTATTATTATTTTTATTTTTTGCGTTTTTGTCGTAGTATCGTCTGCAGCTAGCAACAAAACCATAGTGAAATATAGCACCGAACCTATTACCAAAAACTAGCATGCTAGCACGCACAGCAACACGCAGCACATAATATTTCAAGTTGCATAGCCATTATAATTGCTAGCAAAATGTCTCGCATGCGATCTAGTACGCAAAATCGTATCGTGTGCCGCAGGCTTTATACACAATGCTTCCTCATCATTTTATTTCGTTCACAAAGCTGCTCCTATCAAAGCAAGCGGGTTTTCCAATTTTGGCTTCCTCATAGAGGAAGCTTTATCAAGTTAAAAAATTTAGCCCGATATATCGAAATTTGCAGAAGTTAGAGCGTGCACAGACATTTTTCAAAAAATTCAAAATGTCATAAAAAATGAATCTTCATCAATTTTCATCAAATTCAATACCAACCATATTTTAATGATACTCTTCATATAAAAAAATTTAGCCCGATATCTCAAGATTTGCGGGAGTTAGAGTTTGTATAGACATTTTCGGTCAATCCGTACATACATATACACACCAGTGATGCCAGAATTGAGACGCGAGCAACATGCAACCGAGGTGGAGGGGATAACACACACAAGCGCAAACAGCGTAAATTCGTTAGAAAAATTATTTAAAATAAAATTTACTTGGTTGTGAAGGGGTCATATAGTTAGAATAATTTTATTTTAGATGAATGCGCTTCCGAGATTTCAGTCATTTTTATTTTATTAAATTGGACCATGTTCTTTTTACACAAGTTGATTCTTTTCATTATTCTATACAGGGTGTCCTAAAACTACCGTATTTCCTCTTAATGGCAGATTCTTTAGAACAGTTCAAGAGGAAAATCCTAATACAAAAATATCGAGGCTATAATAGTTTTTAAACGGGAAGCGATTATATTTTACGAATGACAGGGCTGAGATTTCGAGCGCTCAGGCACGGCGAAATAGTAAACACCTTCATGGTAACATTGATCGACCACTTTGACAGCTGAAGTTGAAACATGTCGCAAATTTTTACTTGAATTATTTTTAAGATTAGTTCTTGCATCCATTATTCATAAAAAGAATATACTAATGCGATGCGTACAGAAGCGAGAAAACATATAATGACTATGCTATTGTAAATTTATACGACAATCATAATATCATAAAAAGGTGCTCCATTCATAAAAGCTCTTTTTTCACTTGTTATTTCGCCGTGCCTGAGCGCGCGAGATCTCAGCTCAGTCATTCGTAAAGTATAATCGCTTCCCATTTAAAAACTATTTTTATTATTTATTATTATTTATTTTTATTATTTATTATTTTATTATTTATTATTTATTATAGTCTCGACCTTTTTTATCAGGATTTTCGTCTTGAAATGTTCTAAGGAATCTGCCATTAAGAGGAAATACGATAGTTTTAGGATATCCTGTATATGAAAGTATTAAAATAGGATTATAAAAAAATTAATAGTTTATTTTATAATTTATTTCAATACATTATGACAAAATATGTAATATCATTTTTTATGATGATTTAGCTTTAATACTATTACACAAAGAATATTAATGAGATGAATTAGTTAATACAAAAAATAAGTAATTGCATTTAAAGCTAGATGCAAATTGCATCTTGTAGGTGCAATGTTACACTTATATAATAATAAAATTATCCTATGAGATATTTGGCGAATATTTGAACAAAAAAAAACCACTTTCTAAAATAGTATATATTTCGTAAATATATAAATCATATATATACAGGGTGAGTTATTTTAATCAACGCACGCAAATATCTCGTAAAGAAAGCAAGATGGAAAAAAATGTTTTATACAAAAGTTGTAGGGTTCAGAGGGGGACACATGATGAAAATATGGACTTGACCTTGAGCGACCTTTTCAAGGCCAAGTCAATGTGATCAATATTTTCTTAAATGGAACCCCTCACTTT